GTTTAGCTGCGGGCTCTGTAAGGGGCTTGCCATTTTCTGGGGCTGATTAAATCGATGGTCAATGTGTCCTCCTTGTGTAACAGACAATAAATCGTTCTTTAACGTATCTAGTTCGCTTTTGAATTTACTAATGTTTTCCATTTGTACTTCTTGCCACTGTTGTTGACTTTCCTGTAGCTGCTGCTGACTTTCCTGCAACTGTTGGAGACTTTCTTCCTGTTTCCTTTCTTGTTCCAGTTGTCACTGCTGTAATTTTTCTTCTTGTTTATTTTCTTTCTCCTCTAACAACTGCTGTAATTTCTCTTCTTGTTTAATTTGTTGTTCGAGCTGCCACTGTTGCAGGTTTTCTTGCCACTGCTGTAGTCTTTCTTCTTGTTTCTTTTCTCGTTCGTCTTGCTTCTTTTCTTTTTCCTCCAACCACTGCTATAATTTCTTTTCTCGTTCTTCTTGTTTTTTTCTTTTTCCTCCAACAACTGCTGTAATTTCTCTTCTCGTTCTTCTTGTTTCTTTACTTTTTCCTCCAACAACTGCTGTAATTTCTCTTGTTTATTCTGCTGTTCGAGCTGCCACTGTTGCAGGTTTTCTTGCAACTGCTGTTGTCTCTCCTCTTGTTTCTTCTCTCGTTCATTTTCTCGTTCTTCTTGTTTCTTTTGCTGCTCTGGTATTACTCCCATCAAGTCTGCTAAGCTGTAATTTGATTTGCCGCTTCTCGTCTCCATTTTTTTTTGTCCCACTCTCTGACACCAATTGTTACGTCTCCGTTCGCTAGTTAATTTTCCGTAACTTCGTTCCGACGAAACTTTAGCGACACAAGTCCTTTCTTAATAAAACTGTTTTATTCTTTCTGAATATGACTTTACCGATATGCTTATCTTCAACAGTCGCTCTATAACAAACGCTAGAACGTCTCACGTGCTCGTGCTCGACAATACTTAGTTCAATTACTCACTACCTACACATTGTCCCGTCACGTTGTGACCATCTTATATATACCACCTACCCCCAATCTAGTAAATGCTAGGGCATTCACGAAGGAACAGAATATTTCTAGAAACGTGGCGTGACACTAGTCACGTGACCTCGCTGACGCAACAATACTATTGAAAAAGCTACAAGCTAAAAGAAACTCAGGATAGTTTGTCTATTGTGGCAGTTGTTATCATTAATCATGATTTAGGAGGAGAACTTTCATACAATCATATAATTTATGACTTTGTGTCAAAAAGTGCTTTTATTTGAGGCAAAACACCGTTTATGTATTATATTAGTGCTTACCCCAAAATACTGTTCATTTTCTTTCAGATGGACTTTTTAACTAGTATGTGTTGTTTTGGTAGATTTTTTGGTTTTGTGGTAATAAAGCAATAAGTATTTTAAAAGGAGTGTGCGGAGAGGGGGGGGGGTGAGGTGTTAGCTTAAGGCTGGCCTCCATTCGGCTGGCATCGCCACTGTTACGAAACACTCTTTTTCTAATTAGTTAAGTCTAGTTTCATTTTTTACCACCTAATGATGAGCTCTTGAAAGGGTTTGAAAGCTTGTTGTTGAATAAAAAACAAACTATTACAGTTGAAACAAATCCACTGACAACGATAATGCATAATGTGGCATATGAAGTGCTCATTATGATAAGTTTATATCTGATAACATTAAAATATTGTATTATTTCATAATGTAAACGTTTTCATTATTTGTTTTACATGTGTTACAGGTTTAGATAGATCAGTTTTGTCATTATTTCTTAGGAGGCTGAACTGTTATTTAAAAATGTGAGACTATAAAGGTGATTTTGTAGATTTTGTAAAGAAAACTTCTGTAAGCTAATTCAGAGGTTTTAAAGTCAGACAGACGAAATATTGAAACTTTATCAATTGAAGTTTTATTATAGTTTATTGTTTCAGATGCTGCCAACAAGTAGGCTTAGCCACTTACTCATTCTTTTCCATGATCATATTAGGCTTACTTTATTTAAAACGATATATTTTATTTTTAAAAAAGAAGGGGTTTACAATTTAATACCTTCTTTAATGTGGTTTTAACATGCTACAGTTACTACCCTATTAAATAAGGTTTAGAATTTAATACCTTCTTTTATGTGGTTTTAACATGCTACAGTTACTACTCTATTAAATGGGGGTATTAATGCTATTTTAAAGAGCATTAAATTTTTATTCCACAGAATTTGGAGGTTTGATTTAAGACTGTCTCAAAAATTATACTGTCAAAAATGGCAATATATACTCCTATTTTTAAGTAATAAGTTATTAACAAGGGTCTGAAAACCAGAATTAAAATAGTTAAACCAGCAATCAGTATCCATTAAGGTTGTTAAACCAACAATCATTATCCCTCACCAAAAGGGTTTGAAAATAAGAATTGGAGCAGTTTTATCAGAATACAAAACAAACAGACAATGTTCTATTTCACACCGGTGTTCAAATGAACTTGGCAATAAAAATGAGAAAATGTCATACTAGTACGAAATCTTCACTAAATATGCAACACTGTTTTCCTCAAATATCAAATTATGCTTATTCTACAACTCTGTTAGTACTAAAGCATAAATTAACAACTACGTTTGTCAAAAATATTCACAGATGTACGTCATGAGTCTGAGTTTAGTAATACTTTTCATCATAGTGTAAATGCATACCGTTTAACAACAAAATATTTGAAAAGTATTTTATTATTATTATTAGATATGTCAAAAAATTGTGTCCACTAACTTATTTTAAGATCGTATGAATAGAGGTATTCAATTTCAGGACCAGTTTTATATTGTCTACATATTAAAATGTTTCAAGACCTGGTTAATTTTTTTCCGTTTCTAAATTTAAAAACGATAAAGACTTGAATAAATTTTAAGACCTCTGAATTTTAATGATTAAATATTGTTTTTATAGTCTTAATCGAATTGTATATTTTCATATTTTTCCTGTGTTACTTTGTTTTAATGAGAAGTTCTTGGTTTGAAAAATTCTATGTTCGTTTTATGCATGTGCAATTCAAGTTTGGTATTATAAAAATTTCGTATATTATGTTATGAGTACCTAAAATGTCTGCATTTGAACCTAATTTCGTCCTTTATAGCACAATAGATTATATGTAATACAAACCCTACCTTTTCTGAAATCCCATATACTGTACTGGTACATATGATTTCAGTCTTAGATTATCAAGAAACACGATAGTGGTTCATAACAGAGATCGCAAGGAATTGTACAAAACCCTAATAGAACGTTCAGACAAAAGCACCTTAAACAGTAAAGATTCAGTACAAACAACAATTTAAAACATTTACTGTACTAAGGCTGTACACATATACAAATTCACAAACAAGCACGCATGTTAGGCTTAAAGGGAAAAGAAAATCCGCTCAAACCGTTCCATTTGTAACTCTTCTTCTCATAATTATTCTCTTGCCAGCCTACAACAAAAATTGCAACCTTTTGTAGAATGCTAAATAAGGTACTGCGAAGGTCGTAGAGGTATTGAAAAGTCGATTTGTGTCTTCAATATTTTACATAAGCTAAAAACGTCATAATTCTAGTATAAACAATGTTATCATTTACTCCTTGAAATTAGCTTTTTTACAAATATCTTGTGTTCCTTTAAAAAGCTTAAGTACATGGTGAAACAGCAATTACCAGCCAATAATATATGAACATTAGATTTCTGTAACATGTAAATACTCAATGCTGTGTACACTATACAATCGGTATCTTTAGGGAGCCAACCCCTATATTATGTAT